ACTGGGGTATCAAGACGACGAATCATGACTTCCATTGATATGCACGCATGGACTAATTGACTCTCGTGGTTCTACCTTGTACCTGGTAGAATTCCGAATCAAAGCCACGAGCTTCTTCAGTTGAGACTTTCGTAGCAATGTAAGACCCACTACTGATCCATTGTAAGATAATAACAAGTCTAGAACATGTTAACACCCGAATTCTTCAAGAAAGATCCTACAATCTTTATTAGTACTATTCCTTATCCATTCCCACATCCGGCAAGACGGTATGGACATGGTACTACCCCGGATTAACAAAAACCTTCTCTATCGCGCACGTTCGCACATATTAAAGAAAGGTGCAACAACACGCCCGGGACGCGATGGTTCATTCGGTGATATTGCTGAATAGAGGCTACATACATGTATGCTGTCTTACATTATCTTGGCTAGGGGGTCATAGTAATAATAATTCTTTTACTCCGGAATGAGGCCCAACGCGTTAACGCCGCAGTTTACTGCCGGTGGGATAACGAGGCTCGTGGAATGTAGGACACAGGAAAGGAAAAACTGGGTATATATTACCTCTCTTTCTTCTGGCTTCCCTCATTCTTCATCCTACGGAACGTCTCTATCATTACTATCAAAATGCACACCACCTTCGCCGCCCCCACCTTTACCAAAAATGCTGCTTATATAACCCTAACCCTGACTATCATTATTACATACTTTTATCTCAGTGTTTCTTTTCCCCCAGAACATAAACATATCAATTCTCGTCGCGGACCCCGCAACACCCCTTTAGCAAGTCTACACTTAAAGACCAACCCGACATCGATATTGATGCGGTATGGATCCGATTTATAAATGACGCCGTCATATGCATGAGTTGAGTACGTGTTAGGAGGAAGTATATATGAGGGTATATGACACTGATTGATGGTACAGTTTATGAATACTCATAAAGGTAGATGAAATCATAAGATTTCGACCTTCCGGCACCAAGAACTACTGTGGGAGAGCCTACTGCATATCCAACCAGGGAGCTCTCCGAAGCTATCAGTTCAACCACGAGCAGTGTTGATTACTCGGGTTCGTCCGTTATCCATAACGAAAATGGAATATAAGGCCTATTGGATGGAGGCCGGCTGGGGGTATGAGGTTAGCAGAAGGGTGATCCTTGGCTGGTTCGGACCTGGTTAGAATGGGGTTATGGTTTTGGTAGTTGTTCTTGCCACTTTCATTAATTGGGTGAAGGTGCTATGGTTGAGACACTCGTCTGTCAATGATTTTGTGGTAGAATTGCAGTTGGGATGTTTCGCAGACCAGCCAATTGAAAGCGTAGTAAATTGAGACCTGTATTAACTCCTACGTGTTAATGTCTCAAATTCAAACTCTTTCGGCTCGGCACACCACAGTGTCCCTCAACCCCCTCAGTTCGTTCCACCTACTCAATACCCTCTACTTCCTCTCAGCGTCCTCCGCCTCCTCCATAATAAAAAAGGATTTCACTGTAGACCTCATATTTGAACGAAACCCAATTCTGGATGTAAGTCCAACGCGCTGCAAAAGTAAACCCCCTTACTCTGGCCCAAATTTCAACGAAGCAACCCATCGAATCGGTAATGGAGTGAAATGACGATGACAAATTGTAGTCCGATAGAGATAAGCTAGGGAGGTGATGCCTTGAGGGTTATTACAAGGAGATTTGATGGTAGCGGTTGATCTTGCTGAAATGAAACAAGTTGTACGAGCAGCTGAGTGGTATATGGTGTTTGGGAGCAGTGATGTACATGTCATGTTCTCCAAGTGCCCACGCTTTCCTAAATATGGGAACCTCACGCCATACCATAGGATACCAGCTACAAGTGTATATTATACCTATAAGTAGCTTGGGTTCGTTCGGATATGTAGGCGCCGGGTCTTGTATAATGTATGATACTTACGTACTCGTCGGTTTAACTTTTTATGCCCAGGACGGCAGGTTGTGGTGTCGTAAGCTCTTTCCCTCAGCGAATTTGAAACTTTTTTTTGGCGTGCAGTTCTGGTCGGGACCGGAGCTGTCTCTTGACATTTGTAGTCTTTGCGGGAATCTAGAAATGCTGAAATAAGGTACCGGGTATCTATCCAGACCTGGATTTAGTTAGATTTTGTTTGCATAATCTGGTGGTGACAGAAAGATTTCTCTCATACCTTTTGTCTCTGGGAGTACCTGGTCCCACTGCTGCCACTACATACTTGTCCCGGCCCAACCAAAGTATGTGGCACGAAAACAAGCTTCGAAGGCGGATCCAAAAGTTCCATGGGAGAAAATTATTGGATGGAATGCATAGTTGGTTACCGCGCATGCCGCTGTATATCAACGACCCGCGACTCGACCACCCAAACGTAAGCCCCGTCAAAGCTGCCCTTTCTTACTCAAGAATCAATAGCAATACCAGTCCTCCCTCAGGTATTATAGCGGAAAGGCTGCACATACTCAACGAACCGGGAAAAGCAGACCAAATGATAATCCTCGGTGGTGCGAGACCGAGTGATATCCCATGGCCGAAACCTTTTCGCCCGACCCTGACCCTGACGTCCAGATGCCCATGACGGCAGCGAACGAAGAGGTGGTGGCGTTATATAAGTAGGGGAGGGATGTTGCCGGGGTTTGAGATCGACATATAGGTATAGACAAAGAGGATGTTCCGCGGGGCCCGAGGAAGAACCGGCCAGGCGGTCTCTGAAGAGAGTATCGAATCTATCACCCCTTCCTCCTCACCCTCTCCCTCACTCTCTCGAGCTCCTCGCCCCTACTTAGCGGAGTTATTGAACTTCCAGCTTGTAAACCACCAACTGCGATAGGCTAAGGTCAGAGGCTGGAGCTTTTCGAGCTAGATCTCGATTCGTGGCAAATAGAGGCATCTCAACTCACTGTCGTCGACGACGCTGCTGTGTCACTGTCACTGCTGCTGGGGTAATGATAGTTGGTGCGGTATATACCGTGTACGTGTAGTATGTTGATGGATGGTAAGCTCACAGGAATAACCTGTGATCATGGCGAGTGACCCCCTTTACTACTTAGTTTGCGTCTGATGTACCGCCTCCGGTGTGTACGGCGACCTAGTGGGGGAGAATCCTGGTGTTGAGCCGTTGATGCGTGTTAGTGCCGCAGGTATATATTTATTACCCATGGCCAGCTCTCACAGTTGCCCATGGCCAGCTCCAGCAGCTGCGGCCCACGGCCTCCGGTAGTGGCCCATTTAAACTTGGAATAATCCAGTATATAATAGATGGACGTTATACCTACCCAAACCTCTACGTTTAAGTTTACTTCTCCGAAACAACATTGCATAGATTTTGGAACAGTCATAGTGAATTACATCATAGTACCACTCTATTTCGTCCTCCTCACCAATTGACTAACTGCAGCGCGGAGATAGGTATAAGATTCATACACATAAAACAATCCCCAAACATTGGCAAACTTTTCCCAATCCGTAAGGTATAAAAACATAAAGTAAATCAATCTATATAACGGAAGGAAGGAAAACAAAGATCTACTTTTGCTTCTTAGCCGGCCTAGCAACCACCTTCCTCCTTGGCATGCCATCTCCCCTACTCTCAACCTTCTTTGGGACGCCCTTCTTCTTAGGCTTCACAACCTTTGGTTCACCGGCAGCTGCGGTTTCTTCCTCGACAAGCTCCTCCTCCTCCTCGTACTCCTCCTCGTACTCCTCATCAACAACCTTCTTAGCCGGAAGGAAGCGACCAACAGTGATGTTAAAGACCCACATCGGCAGTCTAACGAGAAACGTGTTGCGAACCTTCGGGCCCTCGATATCATTGATGTCCAGTTGGTACTGGGCGTTGTTGCCATCTTCATCCTTTGCCTCGAGGAACACATTACCAGCGGAGTCCACGATGAGAATCTTTCCATTCTCAGCAACAACCTTGCGCTTACCAGCACCCTTCGGGCCGGGGACAGGAGTCGAAGTTCCGGAACTACCCTTTGCGACCTTGTTTGTCCGGCGCTGCGCACGATTCATCGGTTGTTGTGGAGCAGCCTCGCCGGAGGAGCCAGAATCTTCGGCGGCCTGGATATCTGCAATACCCGGAACACCAGCCTCACCCCATGCTGCAGTGCGGGCGTGCTTGATGTAGCGTTCCATGAAGGCCCTTTGCTGCCTAGCATTGAGCCACAAAATACAATAATGCAATCCACCGCCGCAGAAGACAAACAGACCGATCAGGACACTAGTGAGGCCGGGGCGGTAACGGGCATAGTAGTACCCGGTGCCTCTCCAGAGTGGAAACCCGTTCTTGAGAAAGTGGTCGTAGCGCGCACGACCCTCTCCACGAAGAACATCAGCGATAATGGCCAGGCGGGCAAAACGTTCTTCGGCACGCTTCTTGGACTCGGCGAGTTGCGCTTTGGTGAGCTTCTTTTGGCCGGGGGGAGGAAGGTGCTTTTGCTTGTCGGGGTGTAGGCGAATCGATTGCTTCTTGTAGGCGCGACCAATTTCCTCCTGCGAAGCTCCGTGATTCTTCCCAAGACCGATAAATTCTGGGGAATATTAGTACAAATCCAAAGAAAGAGAGTATGTATTTAAAAAAAAATAATAATAACATACCATAGAAGGTGGTCCCTTCACCCTCGGCGAGCTCCAGCTCGTCACGCACTCGGAAGATCTCCTGGTCTAGTAGCAATAGTTGTCAGTCCCAAATCCCGTCCAAGCTTAAAGTCAGACAGCATCAAAAGCACACACCTTCAGTAGACCAAGATGCAAGAACAGTCGTCGCTAACGCGACGAGCAGAAACGAAACGAGGATAGAAAACCTCATCGCGTCAAGTTAGAGGTTGTTGTAATCGAATTGATACAGATGAAGATATTCGTTGATTGTCGTTGGTTATCACTGCCAGCAGAGAGAGCTTTTAAAGGGCACCAGAGAGGACAGGGTAGCGCCTCGGTAGAGGAATGTCTAAAAAAGATCTGGCAACATCGTTGCGTTGCGCCCCAGATCGGCCCGCCGTCATGAGGCGCAGTGTTGCAATAGTTATACATAGGAATAATGACAACAAAAGACGAAACAGTGATGAAATATTTATGCGTATGTATAAGTAGGAGGAATATCATCGAGACGTGATTTTGTGCATTTTTTCGCATTCTGACGACGGTATTTGTTTTCTGTGGCGCGAACTTTGAGCACCAGCCACCACATCAACAGCCGCACTTCTGAGGACTTTGTGGAGGAGCGAGAGCTTGAACTGGAGGAAAAAGTGGAGGTAGAAGTGGAAGACGAAGAAGTGGAGGGTCTGAAGGACGACATCGTATGCAATGAGATGATTGTGGATTTCCGTGTTTTTTTTTCTTGCTTGCTTGCTTTATTATGGGTTCAGTGGGGAGTGGTATTTCGCCAGGAAATAAATATTCTCACGAAGATTCTGTATGTACTGATACCAGGCCAGGAGTCTACCTAGCGGGATCCCCACCTCTTTTATCATCGGAAAAGCCGTGGAAAAACAACAACACCCACAACAAACGAGTCTAAAACCCGCATCCATCCCCGTATCCGCACCCGCACTGCCCTACTAACTAACTAATGCGCTTGACTGACAGTTGTACCTACATACAGTCACTAACCAGCATCCATCACATACCAAAACCAACCCAACCCAAACCCAACCCATGGGAGTGTAACCGCCTCCCTTAATTGATAATCTCCCATTCACAACAGCCGCTTAATGCTACCCATAGTTAAACAACTACGTGGCAGGGTAGTCCCGAGTCTACGGATTGAGTTTCTGTCGCATTGGAAAGTCTGGAAGCGCACCGGTTCGGTTCGGTGTTGATGTTGTGGGGAGGGGATTCTCGGGGACGTAGGAAGACAGGCAGAAACAAGTTACAACGCTCGGTGCATGGCATGTGGGTGTTATTTTTGCTTGCAGCAGTGGTCATTGGCTTGTGATGGGGGATGGCAGGTGATGGTGGGGGACACAACGCCAACGGTCAATCAGGCAGCAGCAAGAATGACAGTGAGTGGTGCGGTTATAATACTTGCGGTGTTTATGTTTTGTTTAGCTTGCTGTTACGAGTAATACTAACGCGTAAGACGAAGGACAGGCAGGCAGAAAGCACTCGCGTTCGAATACGATGGAGGAAATGTGACACCAGAATGACAGACTACAAACTGACGATAGATAGGATAGAGATAGATTATCTCGAAAGCACCGATATCGATAGAGTACATACATAAGCTTAGATACGCATTGATGTTTTGTTTGGCATCCCATAAGTGTTGCCCTTTGTTTCGACAAACTACCCCGGCCCCCTCCCGAGTGAGACCCTATGAAGAGCACGCGATCTACCCTTTGAAGCTCGATTTCAGATCTGCCTCACAGTCCAGTTCCCAATTCTTGAAGCCTAAATGTGTAGATTAGAGTATCTTCACTGTCAATCTAGACAAGGCCCCGAGTAGTTATGTGTGTCACGTAGAGGACGATTCGGATGAATCCGTCGCAGCCCTACCCAGAATCCTCGAAATCCTAGAATCGCTTATTTCCTCAGTTCATCAATCTCATTCGCTCCCAGTCATCTCGAGTCTTGCGTAATCACTCGGTTGATTCGTGGCCTCTGACGTGCCACACAACACAGCCACAATATTCTCCTGAGCTTTAAGGCCCCTTATCCGTCCGTCACCCATCCACAACCCTCAAACCCTCCAGAAACATCGCATCTGTCCACCAACCCACCGATCGGCCACGTAGACCTTACTGTAACCATTGATATCTCAACCGGCCAATAACCCCCCTCTTTTGTGCATAAGACCGCCGCGCACCCATTCCCCGCTCACACTTTCTTCCAAGAAGCCTTCTCACCAACAGCGAGCGATTTCAGCCGCTCTCTTCTTTGTGTCCGTTCATCAATCTACAGTCCTGTGAATAGCTTCAAGGGTTACTGCAACTAAATGTCAAGGATGTCAATCCCAATTTCTATATTAACTGACCGCTTCAACCTTGGTCGCTTCACCGTAAGTGGCCTCATCTCCATCTGAACCCCCACCCAAGTCATCGTGCTAATGCCCAGCAGGAGGGAAGACAGATGCCTCTGGCATCCCGCTTCAGCAACTTGAAGCCTCTCGGAGAGTTTTTCGACTTCAAGCGATTGTCCAAGCCCGCAAATTTTGGGGAGGTACAGAGTCGTGCAAGCTACAATTTGAGCTACTATGCGAGCAATTATGCCGTGGTATTTGCCATGCTCAGCATCTACAGTTTGTTGACAAACTTGCTGTTGCTGTTTGTGATCCTACTTGTAATCGGAGGCATGTGGGGTATTGGAAAGTTAGGCGGTAGAAATCTGGAAATCGGTTAGTATTCCTGGAATGAAGCGTGAAATAAAGATAGAGGCTAATCATAATTGTAGGCCCTGTTAATGCCACCACCTCTCAGCTGTACACCACTCTTCTTGTGATTGCTGTGCCTCTCGGGATCTTTGCGTCCCCAATATCCACAATCCTTTGGCTCATCGGTGCCAGCGGAACCTGCATCATGGCCCATGCCAGCTTCATGGACAAGCCAATCGAGAATGCTTTTTCCGAGGAGGCGGTCTAGGGATGGTCTCTCCGCGAACTCCACAAATATCACAGAAAAGATATGGACCATCAGAGGGGAGGAGTACGGATATGTTGGTACAACAGCGCAGGATGTTTGAAGGCGGAGTTACTAATAATGTTGAGGGCGAAGTTTTTAATTTTTTGAACAGTAGCAATAGTAAAAGTAGGGGAGTAATAGGTAGCGACGGGGACGGGTGGCAAGATGAGGGAGCAGTTGGCGAGGAGGTTTTTCTGCAGCGCGCTTTAGCAGCCGTCAAGGCTGCAAGTCAGCGCGGTGACGGTATTGTGGAGATGGGAGAGCGAGAATGGCAAGCATGGAAACTTCACGAGTCCATTGAGCGTGAAGTGGAGAAGCGGGTTGTCGAACGGGAGATTGAACGAGAAATGCAACGTCAACGAGACATGGCAAGAGCCGAGGAATTGCAACGAGAATTAGATGAATTACGACGGAGCGGCGCTCTCGATCCTCCTATTAGAGGGGAACCAGGATTTATGGTTGATCAAACATTCACAGGACTTGGGGGATCTCAATCTCTATATTCGTCCAACTCTTCGTCGTCGTCCTCCCTCGCAAGACCTGGGCGGCAGCAACGGTTCATGCCTGATTCCACCGATCCTCTATATGCGCAGGGTCTCCGCCCTACTCCAAATCGTGAATCCTCATACTCGCCTTCATCATTTCGCGGTCAACAGGCATCACCCGCGCACTCTTCCAGCTATTTCCCTTCTACCAAATCCTCTCCAACACTGTCTACTCTGCCGCGCCGTTCGAGTTCACGATCAAGCTCATTGACCCGCGACAGCAAACACACCCGCAAGTCTTCAAACTCCACTCCCACTGGTGCAGAACTTGCACCAGGGGGAAGCTACTATCCCGGCACTCATCCTAGCATCCCAAGCTCCTCAAGTAAGAGAGCTAAAGGTGGCAGGGAGAGTGACGGAGAAGACGTGTATTCGAGTGCTAGTGCGCAGTTGAAGGACGCCCGGAGAAGGAGGAGGATATAGATTTCTTTGCTTCGCTATTTTGTTAGTCTTTTTCTGGATAATAACTAGGGGGTATTTTGCTTTTTCGGTTTGGTCAGATAGAGGGAATTGGAAAAGTTTTATATTCTTTAATGAGACGTGAGATTAATGTGGTGATATGTGATATGTCATGTGTCGGTCTGTGCCTAGTAAATAGTGTCAATGATACTCTGTAGCAATTAATGAACCCATGTCAAGGGCGAGAACTTTTTACACTACGGGCGGCAGTCGATTTGGTCCAGAGAGGCCCGCGCCAGACTTTGTACACCCCCTTTCTAAGGTGGAAACCACAACGTCTCGGCAACCGGAAGATCCTTTGAGTGGTTAGTATAACCGTTTCCTAGTAATTATAAGGCGATGGCTTTCGGAGCCATTTCCCTGACTCAAGCGTACTATCACAAACGGAAGAGTTCGGACGACCTTTTGAAAAGCCAAAAACCTGCAGGTGAAGACATGTTTCTGAAATCAAGCCCTCTCCGGCCGGACAGGCACCACCGGCAGCTGGCAAAAGATGCCTATTACCAGACGGGATAAGCCTACGCCCGAATCTGCTCATGATAGTAGCATAGTAGATCTTTCTTTCAGCGGAAGCTTAAACATGCAATTTAACCAGTTGAATCATCTAGCTTTTTTTTATCATAGATCCCAAGGTACTCTTCTTGTAATTGGAGGATCCCTAGTTGATGAGTGACGAAGGTTTTATTTAGCCCCAGACCTTTGTCGCAGCTTCTGCAGACATAAAACATTGAGCACGAGACTGGCCCTAGATATTAAAATGTTACTCGCAAAAATGCTGACAGCTATAGTTTTAAATTTTATGAAACCAATCCTTAAAAAATATGTCTTTTGACGTTTGATTGACGGTAGGGTGTCTGTAGTCAAAATTTTCGAGAGAGCTGATTGAAGGATGAAAGGGCATCTTTTTCCCAAGTCTTCCTGCATTGATGGAGATAAACGGAGATCAAAGGCAGTTTCGAAGTGTCGATTTGGATGTTGACACCGTTGGCTGGAGTCAATAGGAGCAACGGCTCTCAATCGCAAACATGTACGTGTAGGCACATAACTTCCGAAACTTAACCCCCTACTGGCCTTTCACGGATCGTGCTATTGATCAATTGAGTATGTAGCCAGCTTGCTGAAGAGGCGTATATTATTTCCCCTGCACGTGCCACGTTCACGACTGTCACCGTATCTTGTACCACGAATACGCACGCACCTACGTACGCCCAATCTTTCATACTGGCGGGTATTTATGCATGGTGCTTGTGTTTTCCCTAAACCAACGGCTGGCTTAAACAAAAACACGGCAGTGTGGTGCGAATCGAGTCGAGTGATTTATCATGATGTGTTTCTATCAGCCGTACGACCGAGCCGATCTGGGAAACTTTAAAGTGATAGATAGACAACACATGTCACCCATCTGATCTAAAGATACACGTGTGCTTTAAAAAAAATGCTTGAGTAGAAATCCCCTGTCTTCAACCTCAACCTCAACCTTCAAACAGATTTTCACCATCTGCCATCAGCCATTTCTCGAGCTCATCTATTCGGGATGCACCGGCCCAAAGAACCGGGTGTCAAATTCCTCTGACTGCTTCATATCTAACTCGAGTAAGAATAAAGATTGTTCTGATTGGCTGTTGCCATGTGGAATTGGATTTGTCGGATAGGTTCGGATTATAAAATATTGAGGTTGGGACATTTGCGCTCAAATTGCAGAGCTCGTGCCCATGGCTCGTGCACTGATATACTAACTACTCCGTGGAGAAGTCTGGAGAAGAGCTTGGGCTTGGGCTTGGGCTCGAGCTACGTTATGGCGTGATGAGTACAAAGATTTTCATACCTAAGTCGCCGGACTTGGCTGGATAGCCAATCTAAGGCTTAGGTCTTCTGGAACATCTTCCTCACGAGACGACTCATGATCATCTTGAATCAAAGGTTAGCTTTTCAATCATGATTACGAGTCAATGCTTCTTGGCCATCTTTGACATCTACAACCAAATTTCTCAGACTAAATGTGATTCAGGTCCTGAAATTGGAGTACATAGGTAGGTACAAAATCCGG